CTGATGAGGATGGGGGAGAGAGGAAGGGGGGTGATGGGCATGGAGGAGGGCACTTGTGGGGATGAGCACTGGGTGTTATATGGAAACCAACTTGACAATAAACTATTAAAAAATAATAAAATAAAATAAAAATAATAAAAATAAAAATGAGTACTTGAATGCATACCAACAAGGGTTTTTTCCTTTAGGACAATTGGGATAATAGAATTCCAGACAGTTGGAAAAAAGTGAAATGGTAAGGAACGTACTCTGTTGAGTCAGGCTGCCTAATCTGACTGTCATTTCCAGTGGGTCCCTCAGATGTGCTTCTTAACCTCTGTGCACATGATTTCCTCTTCGGTAAAGCAGGGATGACAGTACCCACATCCCAGGATTGTAGTGAAGATTAAAACATGAATGCATGTAAAGTATCATGTACTTGTGCTTGGCACATAGCAAGAACACAATAAGTGTCTTGTGTTACTAATAAGACCCCGTGATGCTTGACACAGAGAAAGCACTCAGTTAATGTCAGCTATTATCATACCAAAAGTTAAGATTATTCTTCAGAGATCTTTTGGCTCACACCTTTCCTTTAAGAGATATAAACTTCTAATGTCTACACTAAAAAAAAAAAAAAAAAAAGTTTAGTGTGTGTTCCCAGACGTGCTGTGACAACCATCAACCAGATGAAGGAAACAGAGACAAACTTGAACTCGCAAGTTTCGATCAGCTCCCACGTATCAGCCTTTATGCTTTTGTTGTGTGTCATCTCACCAAGAACGTAAACTCCGTGAAGTCAAGGATCTTGCCTGATCCATACAGTAGAGATGAAGAAAATAACAAGTTATCTGGTGAGAATAAGGACCAAGACCCTAGCCATGTGGCCCTGATAGAGATGACACTGGAGTTGGGTCTTACAGAGAACGGAGGTGAGTGAGAAAAGTATTGTGTGTTTGTCCTGCTCTACTTTGCTTCTTTTTTTAAAAGCCTGAATCACCAAATCCTCCCTTTACCCACACCCTGGGGAGATATGAGCAAGCCACAGACGTTAACACTGAAGACCATTTTTTATTAGTATGTCTTTACCTCTGCACCGAGGGGGAAATATATCTATCCCAAGCCTTAAAAAAAAAAAACCTTGATTCCAAGCCTTGATGAAATGTTACTCATTCCTCCATGAGTAACCTGTTTGGATAATCCTCCCCGAGAGATCAAGCTGTATCTGAGTACAATGATTGCCATATTCTAGATTTAACTGACCACATAGATGCATTATTTCCAAACAAGAAAGAGCCTTTCTCTTCCTGCCTTGGAGAAGTGGGATGTTTATGACCTGTTTATAAAAGTCTGCATAAAATACAGCTTCAGAGTCTTGTCCATGAGTAGGCTACCTGGAGTCAAGTGTGTCTTTTAAAATATGATGCATCACTTGCAAGAATGGTTTCTTAGTCTCTTGCTGCCCCCCCAACTCATTGCTCTCCCATAAATAACAATGCGAGGTGATGGCTTGGCCACCGCTTCCATTGTGCCCCCACCTATACAAGATGTCTTCCCCGGTGGATTTTTGTTAAGAAACAAAATACAACTTTTATTGAGATCAATAAAAGATTAAGGTGACAAAGTGATTTATTGACTATAGAGAAGGCTCATTTTTCCCTCACAACGGCAATAGCTACCGGAAAGGACTTTTTTTTTTTTCTTACTCTGGGTCTTCAGGAAAGTTGTGAGAAGCTTAGACTCATTTATCAAATCAAAAGAGAATGATTAAAAACCATAAGGAAACAGACAAAGAACACACATGAGCAAAAGTTGGCTGATCATGGGCTGTTTTACTGAAAGCCCAGGTCACAGGGTGGGGAGGGACAGAGGAAATACATGGGGGATTGTGTAGAATGAAGTTCAGTGGGACATGGGGAGCAAAGGGTGAGGTCAGAGCAAGGAAAGAACTTGACACTGAGAAATAAGAAGTCAGAGAGCTATGGAATCTGACCTTAACTACAGTTACCGACAGCCTAGACACCAGCAGGGCACGGGGCTCACCCCTACACTTCGTTTGGACCAGATGCTTCATCCCATGCCCTCGTCCCTCAAAGTGGTCTCAGATACCTCTCTCTACTGCAATTCTCCCATGTAGAATGAGTCCCTCCTTTACCCTCTGATGAGGATAAATGCCAGAAGTCCCCCTACTTGAGCCCCAACTATGCACCAGGCACAATGCAGAGCACTTCACGTGCTAATGACATCCATGCAGTCGAGGAATTTTGTGAATTTTGTTGAGGTCTGCACCCCTGAGCATCACACACGGTTGGTATTTAGTTAAAAAAAAAAAAAAATATATATATATATATATATATATGTTTAACAAATGAATGCATGAGCTAATGAAATCCTCAGAACAGTCCTGTGAGAGGTAGATCTTATTATCCCCATTTTACAGAAAGGAAAACTGGAATGTCCAGAACTACTTTCCTCTGTGCTTAAGCACGACTGACTTTCCGAGTGCCCTCTTTCTCTCCTCTGTCCCTAGCTGTGAAGACCCCACCCCACTCCCCAAATCCAATCCCGCAGCACAAGAAGAGGAAAAAGAACCTCTGAAACAATAGGCAAAGTCAAAATTAGAGATGTTTATAGTCTGGGCGGTCAGTCCTGACCTCAGGGTTGCTTTTAAAGAAAATTAGGTCTTATGCTGCTGTTAACAGAAAATCATCCCATGAAACTCTCTGCCTTTTACGGCCTCTGAGACTCACGGCACCCTCCCAAGGTTGGGGGACAGAGGAGACTACAAGGCTTCTGATGTAGCAGTCTTTGTGACTTCTCCAATAACCGCATAATGAGTCGATTTTAAATTCTGACATTATGAAACATAGGAGCCCCGTCACCTCTGTATCAGCGTTGCCTTGAACATCCGCTTCAAGAAAGCTGAACTTGCCGAGAACTGATATTTTTTTTTTAAGTAAGCCCAAACAATTTCACCTCTAGGAATTCATTCCACGGATATACTTGAATTTGTGAGAAACGACATGTGCTGTTCACTGTCGTCGTGGTCTACAAGAGCAAAATATTAGAAAATGCCCAAAAGTCGGTCACTAGGGGAGCAGAGAAACGATATATGCAGACCCGTACAATTGTTAAGAGACAGGAATTTGAAAGACTGAAGCTAGAGGGCCATCTGGGTGGCTGAGTCGGTTAAGCATCTGACTCTTTGTTTGGGATCAGGTCATCATCTCATTTTCATGAGTTCAAGCTCCGCCTTGGGTTCTGTGCTGACACCACAGAACCTGCTTGGGATTCTCTCTCTCACCCTCTCTCTGTGTGCCCTGACCCAACTGGTGTTCTCTCTCTCTCTTTCTCAAAAATAAATATATGGGGCACCTGGGTTACTCAATCAGTTAAGCATCTGAGGTCATGATCTCGCGGTTCGTGAGTTCCAGGCCTGCATCAGGCTTTGTGCTGACAGCTCAGAGCCTGGAGCCTGCTTCGGATTCTGTCTCCCTCTCTCTCTCTCTCTGCACTCCTCCCCTGCTCCTACTCTGTCTCTGTCTTTCTCTCTCTCTCTCTCAAAAATAAATAAACATTAGGGGTACCTGGGTGGCTCAGTTGGTTAAGCATCCGACTTTGACTCAGGTCATGATCTCATGATTCGTGGGTTCGAGCCCCGTGTCGGGCTCTGTGCTGACAACTAGCTCAGAGCCTGGAGCCTGTTTCAGATTCTGTGTCTCCCTCTCTCTCTGACCCTCCCCTGTTCATACTGTCTCTCTCTCTCAGAAATAAATAAAAAACATTAAGCAATAAATAAACATTAAAACTTTTTTAAATAAATAAACTTAAAAAAGAAAGAAGATTGCAGCTATTCTGCATGTCCTCATGGGAAAAGTTGACCAAGATAGCATGTAAAGAAAGAAGGATGAAAAACTGCGTGTGATGCTACTACAGATAGAGACACCTACCTAGAGACAGAGAGAGAGACAGGGACAGCGACAGAGCCGGAGACAGAGACCCACATACACACAGATGTTGGCTTATACGAAACATCTCTGGAAGGATACAGGATAATTCACTCTGGGAGTGAAAATGTGTGGTTAAAGGCAGTGGTTGGCAACAAAATTTTCTCTCCTGTACCTTTTAAATTTTGTAGCGCATGTGTGTTGCCATATATACGTCACTCAGCAAACATGAACAAAGTGTCTACTGTACGCGAAGTACACGGTGGTAATGCACAGACAGCAATCCCTATGCCCTTGCTAGTGGGGAGACAGATAAATAAATAAAATCTGTAGTCATAAGCACTGGCGGGCGGGGGGGGGGGGGGGGGGATAAAGTCATGGGCTCGGAACAGGTGAGGAGCAGTTGAAATTTTAGGGCAGGTTCTTGTTGAGGAAAGGAAGTGAGAGAGCTAGCCAGGCGGGTCCGGGGAGACAGTCCAGCTGCAGAAAGAGCTGCAACCACAGCGTGTTTGTGTTCCCGGCAGGTTTTCTGAGGATGAGTGAAATGAGCGCGGCCAGAGCTAGCAGGGGTGGGGAAGCAAGGGCTAACGAGGCCGGCGAGGTGACGGGGGTCAGATCACTTGGGTCTTGCAGGATGGAGTCTGGCTTTTGATCTGAGTGAGATGGGAGTCATTGAGGGCTTGGAAGAGAAAAGCAATGTGACCAGACTTAATGCCTCCGCGTTCATGATCTCTCTGGCTTCTGCGTGGAGAGGGGATGCTGGGGGAGACCGCAGAGCCAAGGCGGCCATTTCAGGAAGCTGTTGCAATATCCAGGAGAGGTAACACCGGGCTGCAGTGCGGTGGTGGCGGTGGGCAGAGAGGAGTGTTTGGACTCTGGGCACATTCTGCAGAGCTGGTAGGCTTCGGTAACCTTTTAGAACAACCTGTGAGCTCCGCCCCTTTAGAACAGCCCCGGAGCTCCGCCCCTTTAGAACAGCCCCGGAGCTCCGCCCCTTTAGGACCCGGGGGCTCCGCCCCTTGAGAACAGCCCCGGAGCTCCGCCCCTTTAGAACCTCCCAGGGGCTCCGCCATTTTAAAACAACCGGGAGCTCCACGGTTTCAGAACCACCCGTGTTCGTGTCTGCTGCATGGGGGAAGTTAGAATATCTGCTTGGTAGGGTTGTGGTGCCCGTTACGTAGTTCGGCTAATGGAAAGGGCTGAGCGTCGTGTCTGACTCGGGGCGATGGTCGGGTCACAGCGACTTCTGAGAAGACGGACGTTCCTCTTTCCTGTGCTGAGGGTTTAACTTTGGGGGTGAAGGCGGCGTGCATGTAAAGCCGTAGGCTCTTGTACCCCGTAAGGCGTCACGTCAGCCCAAGTGCCAACGGACGGTTGTGGGGACGGGGACAGAGAAACGCTGCCACCCTCCTGTTGGCCCCAGCAGCGCAACGTGAAGGGGGAGCCCCCCAGCCCCCACGCCTCAGGGGCGCGGAGGGAGCCGGTTAGCCGAGAGACAGGAAGGACAGTGCCGTGGATCCCGGAAGTGTCAGGGCAGGGAGGCTCCTGGAGCTGGCCCAAGGATGGACTGTCTCGTGTCACCTCGAAGCGCCTTCCTTGGTGGGACCCGTGGAGGCGGCCCTGGAGGCGCCCGGCAGCCGATTCGGACACAGGTAACCTCGCCCTGTGAGAGCGCTTCTGCGCGCGGCCGTACAGGGTCCAGGGCGGGAGCCGTCTGGGGAGGCCCCGCCAGCCAAGCCTCGGGCGCATCACGGAGACGGCTGCCGGGGGCCGCAACACCGCACGCCAGTCACTCTCCTCGGGCTGGGCGACGGGCGCTGTGCCTCCGTCCGCGGAAGAGGGGTGCTATGGAGAAGGAAAGGGTTCACCTGACAGGAGCACCCACACACTACACCCACACCCAGCCTAGACCCCCCCACACCCAGGGACAGCCAGCCCCAGGTCTAGACCCCACACACACACCCAGGGACAGCCAGCCCCAGGTCTAGACCCCACACACACACACCCAGGTATAGCCAGCCCCAAGTGTAGACCCCACACACACACCCAGGGACAGCCAGCCCCAGGTGTAGACCCACACACACACATCCAGGTACAGCCAGCCCCGGGTGTAGACCCCACACACACCCAGGTACAGCCAGCCCCAGGTGTAGACCACACACACACACACACACACACACACACACACACACACAGGGCCCTCACAGGTATTCACAGAGACACAAAAACCAGCAGAGAGACGTCACACGTGAGCACAGACACCAAGAAACCACGCAAAAGCACGTTTTGCACATAAACACATGCAGGGTGTGATGTATGACCCTAATATCCACCAGTATAGACAGACCCAGCAAGAAGTACAAGATGCAGACAGGAGCAGATCCAGGCACGCGTGCGCACACACACACACAGGCATCACCGTGCAGTGACCAAAAGGCGAAGTTCAACCAGGAATCAGGACGGGAAAAGTAACAAAGGACAATGGTGAGAATTGTCCCAGCTCCCAGTGGTCGCCAGCAACGATCCTGTGTGGACCTCTATCTGATGCAATTTGCTCTGCACGTAAGCAGTTCTGATTTAGATGATAGATAGAAACCATTTATACAGTTAAGCACGGTAGGGGTCTAAACGCCGTTCCCTGCAGAACACCAGATGCGAATAGATGAACATTTGATTGTCCTCACGCCTGTTTCTGACAAGCTAACAGATAAGAAACCATCCCACTGAATTCCCAGAAAACCGGAGACCACGATTACAGATAGCAACACGCAGAAAGAGCTAGGATTTATTAAGGCACATTTCTAAATATTAAAGAGATGGCATCTGGCTAGTGCTCCTCTCAGCAGACTTTGTAGGCGGGATGTCACTTGATAAGCAAGATGAACGAGCGGAGGGCTATGAGGGAGTCTGCACGGCCTGGAGCAGTGGGGATGACCTCACGCAGGCCGTAAGCAGGGACTGTGTGCTCTGGACGCTGGGGTTCCGAACCGGAAGGTCCAGCTATCTAAAGCCATCTTTTCCTCATAGCCACCTGGAATTCCACCAGGGAGTTTTGGAGTCTTCTAGAATTCTTGCTCAAAATATAAATACACGCCTGAAAAGATGCTCACCGGCAATGGTCATTAGGGAAATGTAAATCAAAACCACAAGGACGCAGAGAAATTTGAACGTGTGGCTGGTGGGAATGTAACATAATGCAGGTGCAGCAGAAAATGGTACACCGGTTCCTCAACAACATCCAAAGTAGAATTCCCATATGACCCACCAATGGCACTTCTGGGTACACACCCGAAATAAGTGAAAGCAAGGACAGGTATTTGCACATCCACGATCACAGCAGCACTATTCACAACAGCCAGAAGGTGGAGGCAGCCCAAGCATCCATCAACAGATAACTCAAGAAACAAAATGCAGCCTGTGTGTATGACAGCATATTATTCAGGTCTAAAGAGGGACATTTTGACACATGCTATAACATGGAGGAACCCTAAGGAAATTACTCTGAGAGACGCATAAGCCAGTCACAGAAGGACAAATCCTGTGTGACTCCACCCATATGAGGCACCTGAAGATTCAGAGACAGAAAGCAGAAGTGTGGGTGTCAGGGCTCAGAGTGGGGAAAGGAAGTTAACAGGGACAGGGTTTCAGCTGGGGACAGTGAGAAGCGCTCTGGAGATGGATGATAACCTAAACGTACTTAGTGCCACAGAACTCTCCGTTTAAAAATGGTCGAAATAGAGGAGCACCCAGGTGGCTCGGTCAGTTGAGTGTCTGACTCTTGATTTCAGCTCAGGTCATGATCTCACAGTTTGAGAGCTCAAGCCCCCAGTTGGGCTCTGTGCTGACAGTGCAGATCCTGCTTGGGATTCTCTCTCTGTCTCTGCATTCTTAAGCATCCGTGCTCACTTTACTGCTCTCAAAATATACAAATATACATTTTTAAAAAACCGTTGAAATGGGGCGCCTGGGTGGTTCAATCAGTTAAGCATCCAACTTTGGCTCATGTCATGATCTCACGCTTCATGAGTTTGAGCCCTGAGTTGGGATCTGTGCTGACAGCTCAGAGCCTGGAACCTGCTTCAGATTCTGTGTCTCCTTCTCTCTCTGCTCTTCCTCTGCTCATGCTCTGTCTCTTTCTGTCTTTCAAAAAAAAAAAAAAAAATTAAAATTTTTTTGAATAGTTGAAATAGAAAACTTACTTTGTATATATTTAACTGTGATAATCCATATAGACTGCATTATGAATTAATGCATGAAAATACTTTTTATCAACAGAATCATAAGGATTAGTCTGCAGCCAGCAGAAAGGAATATCCCGCAGGAGGAAAAGAGGGAAGCTTTAGAAATGTCATCACAGAAGAGTCCTTGCAATGATAGAGGACGTCTGCTATCACTGTGAGTGCCCCCCCGACTTGCCTCCTCTCCCCATCAAAGCTGGTCTGCCCTTATGTTCCAACACCTCCCGGTCATCTTTACCTGAACAAGGTAGCTGGGTCCACCAGTAAGGCTCTCCTTTTCCCACTGTTCCATCCCAACAAGGTCCTAAATCCAGAAAGGGTAAAGGGAGAAAACAGCCAGCCTAAGACAGCCAGGTGTCTACATATTCTAAAGAATGACTAAGACATTGTGCGTCATTTTTGCACTAAGCATTTTACGTTGGTTCTGTATACTCAGGCACAGCTAGATGGGTCACTGTCTTCATTGCGCAGATACAGAGACGAGAATAGGCGCAATTTTTAAAAATTTCTCCCAGTCACACAGCTGGCAAGTGGCAGAGCCAGGACTCAAGCACCAGAACGTTCATCTCCCAAACTCCAAAGCCCATGTCATTAGCCAGCTATCCTGGTTCCCCAGAGCAGAGGCACCCTGTGAGATAGTTCTAGCATTTATAAATAAGCAGTTATATATTGGTCCAAGTAAAACATCTCAGACCACCTAAAAAGTCAGTGTCATTTACTTGGTGCTGGAATTTTATCACTGCTTCTCCACTGATAGACATTTTGTTGTCCTCCCCAGGGAGCACTTGACAATATCTGGAGAGGTTTGGGGTGCACGTGGTACTGGGATCTAGCAGGTAGAGGCCCGGGATGCTTTGAAACATTCTAACACTTCCCCTCCACAAAGAATTATCTGGACCAGATGTCAATAATGCTGAGGTTGGGAACCCCTGAATTCTATTGTGTCATTGGTGTGCAAGAATTTCGCTGTGTGTCTCCCTCCATCCCCGCCTTTGCCTCCCCTCCTTGTCTGCTCCCAAGGACATCTGCACACTTACCCTAAAAGAAAAACATCCACACATGCTAATTCACTGAACATTTACTTAGATTGCTATATTCTAAATGCTCATCAGAGCTTTTGATCAAGCATGGCACCGAATGGGCATGACTGTCGATAAGAAAGTCTTTGTTTAAGGGGAAGACCAATTATTCAAAACACACGGATTGGTAGACACAATTTTCCAAACTGTAAGCTATGTAGACATCACAGTGATTATCAGTATGTTCTAAAGGTGTATAGTAGCACCCCTAAACTTGGCGACTCTTATCAGATTGGCCTGGAGATCTAATCAAACTTAGGGAGCTTGGTAGACACATTCAAAGGTGGCCCCTATGATGCTCACGTTCTGACATAACCCCTCTCCTTCAGTATGGGCAAGACGGTGACCTGCTTCTAAACAACAATGTGGCACAGGTGATGGGCCACCCCTTCCATAGCTGCAGCACTTACAGTGTGTACGACTCCATCTTGCCCCCTGACCTACCAGAGACTCTTCTTTGTGGCTGAATGAAGGACATGGCCATGTCAGAGAAGTTCATGTGTCAGGCATATCGGGTTAGGAGCTGAGGTTGGCCTCTGGGCAAGAACCAACAAGAAGCCAACAGAGAAAGGGACTCAAGCTCCAATACCAAGGAACTGAACGCCACCAGCAAGCACACACGAGAGGACATGAGCCCCTTCTCATCTGGGCCTACTGATACCCCAGTTGTAACCTCATGAGATCCTGAGCGAAGGACCACCTGCATCGCTCCTGCATCCTCGACCCCCAGAAAGCACAAGGGATTCGGGGAGGGCTTTGAGCCTCTACACTCAATGTGGTCGTTTGTCCTATAGTGACAGAAAACAGGAACTTAAAAAGCGCCTCTCTCTGCCCGAGACACAGAGCCTTCCAGCGACAAGGATGACTTCCTCGGCTCTGAACCCCGGGGAGATGAGAAGCCTTGGAGCCACCGCCCTGGCCGAGCCGCCCCGAGATTTACGAAGGGCTCTAACTTCCATTAGGCGGTGGAAGGCACTGGGTGTCTCTGCTCGTGTTTAGAAGTCCATTTGTTTCCATTCGTTGTCAGCAGTTTGCATAAGTGAGTGGTTTTATTTCTTGTGAGCGAGAAGCAAAAACGCACGAGTTACCCCAGCAGTGGGAGATTTGTCAAATAAAGCTTTTAATAATGGGTCTGTTTGACAGTTTTATAGTTCTTCAACTTCCCGGCCATTTGAAGGTGGTAGGTTTTCAATAAAAATTAAGTCCTTTTCCAAGAGAAACTCGGTCCCCTGTTATTTTAAAACAACTAGTCCAGGGTGCACTGAAGCACCTTAATTCCGCTACCGAAAGTAAATCTCCCTCCTTTTCCGTATTAATAACTCGGGCAATCCATCAGCCTGAGACGGACTGTGAGCTTTCGCACCAGTATATCCAGGTGGCCTGATGAACCACATCCGTAACTAGACTTGCCGGGTGATCATTAGGCTGTTCCTGAAAATAAATGGCCTGGCCTTGCCTGCGCCTTACTTAAGTACACTGGGAGGGGCCAGCGGCCTGGACTTCGCTCTTTCATCTTCTTGGATCCTTCTGAAGTTCTTCTGGGTCACAGGCAGCGATTCAGAGGCTAGTCTCTGAGGAGGGAGGTAGCACATGGGAAGAACCCAGCATCTGAAGACCTCGGTTCTAGAACGAGCTCCATCACCCCCTATGTGTATGACTGCTGGGTTCATCCCCTGACTTCTCAGACTTTTAGCTCCTCTGTTTGTCAGTGGAGGAGAGGAAGTCAGAATTCTGGGGCTCAAACCCCAACACGGTGATCCATGAGAGTGGTCAGGGGCGCGTATCTAATCCCTCTGAACCTGCTTGTCTGAAAAATGTGATGCTGGGGGCGCCCGGGTGGCTTAGTCGGTTGAGCGTCCGACTTTCGCTTGGGTCATGATCTCGCGGATCGTGGGTTCGAGCCCCGCGTCGGGCTCTGTGCTGACTGCCAGCTCAGAGCCTGGAGCCTGTTTCAGAGTCTGTGACTCCCTCTCTCTCTGACCCTCCCCTGCTCACCCTGTGTGTGTGTCTCTCTCTCTGCTAGAAATAAATAAAAAATTAAAAAAAAAAAATGTGATGCTGGTTCCTCACAGTTCTTAGAGGCCCAGAAAGGTTCATCTCTGGAAATGACTGAGCCAGGTTCTCCTGGTCCTCACCAAGTCCTCATTCAAGTGTCCTCTTACCATTGTTACTATCATCACTCTTATTACTTTTATGTCACTGATCACTCTTACGTCATTACAGTCACAGTCAAGAAAAAAGTTGTTAAGGGGCACCTGGGTGGCTCAGTCAGTTAACCTTCCAACTTCAGCTCAGGTCATAATCTCACGGTTCATGGGTTCGAGCCCTGCATCGGGCTCTGTGCTGACAGTTAGCTCAGAGCCTGGAGACTGTTTCAGATTCTGTGTCTCCCTCTCTCTCTGAAACCTTCCCTGCTCGTGCTGTCTCTCTCTCCTTTCTCTCAGAAATAAATAAAACATTTTAAAAAAAAAAGAAAAATGTTGTTAAGCCCCTGCTTTGCCAAGACTTATTCTGTCTGCCCCTGTCAGAAACAGCATCTAGCATCTCATGGGTCCTGTGTTGCACCCTGTGTTTCCATACAATAACTGAACATCTCTGAACCCAGTGATGCCCCAGACCCAGGACAAATGGCCACAAGAAACAGTTGGCTCCGAAGCTGAAGACTCAGCAGTGGGAAGGGTTGGCAAAAGGCTGATTGCTTTTCATGACAACCCCGGTGGGTAATTTGGACTATTTTCCAATGTGCATCTTCTACTTTGATTAGAACTGTGCTTTTTAGGGGAAATTGGGTGGCTCAGTTGGTTAAGCATCTGACTTCAGCTCAGGTCATGATCTCACGGTTCTTGGGTTCGAGCCCTGCATCGGGCTCTGTGCTGACAGCTCAAAGCTGGTGCCTGCTTCAGATTCTGTGTGTGTCTCTCTCTCTGCCCCTCCCCCAATTGTGCTCTGTCTCTCTCATTAAAAAAAAAAAAAATTGAAGCTATGCTTTTTATTATAAATGGCAAAAAAAGAGAGAGATAAAAGGGTATGTGCCTCAAGCCACTAGAGAGATGCCAGCTGGTACTCAGATTGGCCCCAGGCCTGAACCTTCTGGACCTTTACCTACATCTCTCACCAAGCCTGAGCTTCCCTCACCTCCTGTGGCTGCCGAACCAGAGCCAGCAGCGACCACATAGCAGTTCCCCAGGCTCAGTTTGCAGGGAGCAAGTATGTTCAAGCCCTCTCTTCTCCAAGGTCCCAAAGGTATGGAGCATGGAGCCCTTGTGTCCTACAGCGTCCAGGGCCCCTGTCTCCCAAGTGCCCCCATCGAAGGTGTAAGTTGTCATCATCATTTCTTATTCTTCCTCATCATCTCCACCATCCTCCTCCTTTTCAATTACTCTCCTTGATAAATGCCACCCCCACCACAGATCCCTCTGTCTGTGCTCAGCAACCACTTATATTCTTCGTTCAATGGATTCAGACCATTGACTATCCTCCATTCTTAGCCCTTGTCTTTCCAGCCTGAAAACACAGAATCTCTCTAGTCTTACTCTGTTAAAACAGCTTCTCACATTGAAGTGTCTCAATCTTCTGCATGTTTTTGGAACATGGGGACCCTTTGCCAGCGTCTTTTCTGACCTCAGCCACACCTTTCTCTGCTTGCAGGTCTTCTGGCCCCTCTCCCTCCACATCCCCCTCTGTCTGCCTGTGAGTTAGCTCTGCCCACTGTCTCTGCTCTGGCAGGGGGACCTGCTTGGAACAAAATGGCCCCGTTATGCTCGCTCTCTGTCATTCCTTCCTGGAATTTAATTGGATTTTTTTCTCCCCTTTGTTAGTCAAAAGCACATAATAAAAATCTCCCCAAGTGCAATCAGTTTCCATCGGCACTGTTTCAACCCATGTCACAATGAGGCTTGATAGAAAAGGGACTCTTTCCCACTCCACGTAGGAAATAAATATTTGACTTGCAATGGAGACTTTATTTATGGAATGGATTAACTTCTTAAAATTCCCTGGAGAGGAAGGGAAGAGGAGGCCTCCAACTCTCCACTTACGGTGGAAGCCAATCCATCAGCCGCTTCTGCAAAGGAACCCT